TCAGTAAATATAGCAATCTGACATCTTAAAAGCTACTGCAAAAGTTAAAAGAAAGAAGTATCAAACTCAACTCAATCTATAATATGTAGATACACAACACAAAAGGATCTAAAATATGACATCAATAACATAAAACGTAGAAAGGAAAGTATAAATGTAGCCTTTAAAGAATATATTCTAATTTAAACACCTATCAGCTTAAAATAAAGAATTATATACATAAATCTCATGGCAACCATAAACCAAAAACCTTCAAAAGACATACAAAGAACAAAGAGAAAGGAACCTAAACAAAACACTAAAGAAAAGCAGCAAACCACAGGGAAGAGATCAAGAAGAGAAGAAAGGAAGAGAGGAGAACTACAGAAACAGCTTAAAAACAATTAATAAAATGGCAATAAGTACATATTTATCAATAATTCATCTAAATGTAAATGGATTAAGTGCCTCAATCAGAAGACCTATTAACTAATTATATATCCAATAAAACTTAGAAAGAACTCAGAACTGAACACACCCACACACACACAAACATACTTCCAATTTTAAAAATGGGCATAGAACCTGAGCAGATATTTCTCCAAAGGGGACATACATAAGGCAAATAAGTATATAAAAGATGCTTAGTATCACAAGTCATCAGAAAAATGCAAATTAAAACTACAATGAGACATTACTTTACATCTGTCAAATTGACTATCATAGATAACTCAACAAACAGTGTTGGCAAGAATGTGGAAAAAAGGGAACTCTCGTACATTGTTAGTGGAAATGCAAATCGCTACAGTCAGTATAGAAAACAGTATGGAGTTTCCTCAAAAAATTAAAAGTAGAACTATCTTATGACCCAGCAATCCCACCTCTGGGTGTTTATCCAAAGAAATGCAAAACACTAATTCAAAAATATACATGCATGCCTATGTTCACTGCAGAATTATTTACAATAGCCAAGATATGGAAACAACACAAGTGTCCATCAATAAAGAAAATGTGGTCCATATGCACAATGGAATATGACACAGTTATAAAAAACAATGAAATCTTGTCAACATGGATGAACCTGAAGAGTATTATGCTAAGTGAAATGTTAGAGAAAGACAAATACCATACGATCTCATTTATATCTAAAAAAAAAAAAATGCCCTAAATAAATGAATAAACAAAACAAAAACTGACTCATAAATATAGCTGATAGTTGCCAAAGGGGTGGGGTTAGGGAGATGGGAATAAAAATAACTTAAAGTAAATTAACTAGGCAATGTATGTCCTAAATTGTCTAGGAGGGTTTTGAGGCTCAAGGAATATACTTTTTAAAAATTCATGGTAATGCCAAGATTACTCTCAGAAACTACCAAAACTCAAAATTGCTGAAGTGGCAAAAAAAGTTTTAAATAAATTCTGCAATGTCTATGGACAAACATGGGTATATGTGTATAATACACATACACACACATGACTTCCAGAGGGGCTTGTTAGCCAACACATCATCTGAATCCACCTGACATATTCCCCTACCCACCACTGCATTGTTCTTTGGTGCAATTGACCAAAAACTGGATCTAAATTTGGCCCGTTTCAAGGTCAAATGATTCAGCAAACAGAACTTGACCTTAAACAATGCAACTTTGTCCAATCACCCATCCACACACACACCATTTTCCTTACTACAACTCCATTAATGTCTATCACAGGTTACCTGCTTCTGCATCTAATCCTTACAAAAAGAAAAGGCATCAGGATGTGTTTGTTCCTCCCCCTCCATTCTCTTCCCCCTACTTGCTCAACATATATGCAATAGCTGTAAGAGCAAGAAAAGTACAGAACTACCTTATGACCCAGCAATTTTAAAATTCCATTGGTTCAGGTAGGCACATAATTTGAAGCAGCTCCAAATGCACATCAAGTTAAAAAAAATAAGTTTTCAAAAGTCTATAATTATGTATTTACACAAAGTACATAATTCTGTATGTATTTAATAAATTACAGATTATCAAGGAAATCATGCAAGGTTGTAGTGTTTGTGAGAAGAAACAGAATGAAACACCATAAACTGAATCCATTCATTTAACTACACAACAAAATCTAGTGGAGATAGGTTCCCCAACCTGGCACGTCCTTCGACACTGCCTGGGTATTCACAGAGATAGGTGGGAGGGTGGTTCAATCATGGTAAGTCTTTAACCAAGGCGCACATATTGGCACCAATGACACAGTGGTTGGGCTGTCTAAACATCTGTTGGTGAAAACTGGGACCACCTATTTCACAGTAGCTAAGGGCTGCCATATGAGGGCTCTAAGCCTCTTAGGAGAAGAACCAGATGCAAACCCATAAGCTCACTCTGCTGCCCAACAGAATGATGCCCACCAAAACCCTGAGCAATCTACTCTCCCAGGACACTTATTTACATAAATTGCATAAGTCAATATTTATTTATTTACAGACCATTACAGTTTATTGTATCCGTTGCCAAAAGCAAAAAAAAACAAAAAAAAACAAACA